CACTCAAAACTCGATCAGTATGTCCTTCTAGAATGCGTGGATTCAGATCTAAATTCTCGATCGACCACAGACGCACCATCTTGTCTAAGCTGCACAATGTCAGTTGTTTTCCATCAGATGAGGTCACACTCCAAATGGTACCAGTATGTCCTTCTAGAATGCGTGGATTCAGACCTAAATTCTCGATCAACCACAGACGCACCGTCAAACACCACCAAGCTCGTTGCCTGTTGACTTTGTAAATTCAAAAATCTCTCGCACAAATCAACCCTAACCCTTACTCTTTCCAAATCTTTCTTCTTTGCCAAAATGTCTGCGTCTACCTCTTCTGGTAAAATTCATTTTGTCAATGACTCGGGGCTTCCCAACGTCCTGATCACTTCAGCTGTTGGAGCTGTGGTCAACGTTGAGAAGTTCCAGGAGGCTCCCCTCCTTGCCACATACAAAAAAATCGCCAAGAACTCTTATGAAAGGTTGGTGAAATACACAAAACAAGTTAACGAAATTTCTTCGTCCAGGCCGGGTAACTTACACTCGCTCGAAATAAAGTTTGATGGTAAAATGAACAAAGATGCGTTTGCCGACTTGAATAAGTACATTCATGACAAATTATCATCTGTGGCTACCGAATTTTCTCTCGTGAAGTCTGATGAATATCGCAAGAAACTGCGTGACTTGCCAACCCGTTTTGAAAAAGAATTACTCGACATCTCCTTTGCTGCCGCCATTATGGATACGGATAAAATGCAACTGGACAAAGAACATTGGACCCCCTCCGATGACATTCTCAAGGATGTCGCTGATAATGTGCTGACCCTGAAAAACTATGTCGTTTTTTTGAAAAATAAAGCCGCTACACCTAAGGAGGTAAAGGACTTTTTGAATGATATAATTCTTTTGTTTTATTTGATGGTGCAATTTTATTGTCATGAATATGATATTGACGAACAATCTTTAGGCTCCCCTCAAAAGAAAACCGGAAGAGGAAACTCTTTCCCCAGAACAGATCCAGCTGTGCGAAGAAGCCAAAAGGAATACAGTGTACTTCCGGACCAAATCCCAACTTCCCAAGCACAAAAAACAAAAAACACAAGCCAAGTCTCCAAGCAAACCTGCTGGCAAAGACAAAGGAGGCAAAACAAAAAGGAACCAACCCCTCAAAAACAAAGGGAGATCAAAAGGAAAAAGGTCTTTGTCAATAATGCGTCTTCTCTTCCTGAAAATCAAATTTCTTCTTTTGTGTTGTCATTTTTAAACAAAGGTGCTAACTTCCAGCTTTCCTACCCCATGAATATTCGTCAGGTCTCAAAAACCTGGATTCAAGCATCCAAACAACTCTGCGAAAGGGTCAAAGGATGTGAAGGGCAAACAAAAGATCAAATAAAAGTTTTAGAGCAAATTCTCTTCTGTCAACAATGGCATTTATTTAGCCAAATACCTTTGTATAATTGTCGCTACGCGAACATATTTAATATTAATAAAATGTGTAATGACGTGTTCCAATGGATGTTATCCAATAATATTTTGATAATTCTCACTGATAAGAACTTGGGTCTTACCCTTGTTGATAAACAGTGGTACTATGAACAAATGACTGCATTTATAAAACGTGATATCTTTGAATCTTGTGTGTTCTGAACTTCGCAGTTTAGTTTTACTGCCCAGTCAAGGAGTCTCAGAGAAATCGTGGCCAAACATGAAAAAGTTAAAAACAATGCTGCACGTCTTATATTTGACCTTTGGGATGAAGAAGTGCAAACTTTTCCAAAAATTTATGCTTTAGCTAAGGTCCATAAGTCTCCGTTAAAGTGTAGATTCATTAGCCCTGTATATAATTGGGTTAATACTAAAGCATCAAAATGGGTCGCTGCAAAACTGCAACCAATTTTGGAAAAGTTTCCTTATGTACTCCAAAACTCACTAACTTTAGTTAATAAAAGTTTTAGTTGGACGTCTATGGAGTTTCCCAAATCTGCAACTATGGCCACTGCCGATATACAGGATATGTACAACAGTATTAATCCTCAGGTAGCCCTTAGGTGCATCTGGTATTTACTCAATACCAAAGGGATTATTAATCCTGACACTAAACATGAATTTGATTTAATTCATAATATAATCGTCTGGATTTTTAGGAATTCTTATGTAGCATATTTAGACAGAGTCTATTTTCAGCTAAAAGGTCTTCCTATGGGAAATCCCTTATCACCTATCTTAGCAAATTTGTATGCCTGTGCAGTTGAGACTTCAGCTCTCAAAGATTTGCACATACAATTTGAACCAGATAGTTGCATATTTGTTAGGTACTTGGATGATATTTTTACCATTGCGGCACATAACAAATTGTCAAATAACAGTAAGGCAGACTTAGGTCTTAATTCTTCTGAGTATCTGATTAGTAATATAATTGAATACTCTGATAAAAACTGTTTTAATTTTGACGTTTCACCTTTTGTATCTCAGCTGAACAAGTCGGTTAACTTCCTTGACTTGAAAATTCAGTGGGTGAGATCTGATAAAAAAGATATGAAAAAACTAAAGTTTAGCTTGTTTGATAAGCCAATGAATAAACATATCTATACAGATCCTCAAACGTTCTACCCCCTAATTATATCTATGGATGGATTCAGGGTGAGAATATCAGGTATATCTGAAATAATGATGACAAAGTAATGTATGATCGTACATTAAAACAATTCGTTGAATTTCTGCGTCATAGGGCATATCCTGAAAAAATAATTCGCCAAAAATTATCTCTAAACAAATATGACGATAGGGATGAATTATTAAAAGGTGATAAACCTCATCAATTGAGGAAATCTTTAGATTTGAGTCAAACTGACGACCAAGTTTCTGATAAAAATTGGCTTTTTGTTCCTTTGGAAAACAACTGTGCTAGGCCATTAATTAGTGATGTTCTAAGGAACAGTACTAAATTATCAAAACTTATTACAAAGGATGAAACTTGTACCTTCTTGTTTCCCGTTCGCAAAGGTCGCTCTATTTACTCTGTGTTTGCAAAAGCTCTAAAAAATTAGAGACTTAAGTAGAGATTGTTGACAATTTTTGTCCGATCTGTAACTTGGTCACGCTTTTTTCTCATAATTTAACAAAGAGTTTTACCAAAAAATCTTGTGATTTTTAATCACAAAAAATTAAGATTATAATGGATGTGTAAATCCCCCTGGGAATGTTACACATCCCTGGGGCCCTAACCTTGTCCTAACCCTAATCCTAACCCTACCAACAATCCGATACATGGTTGTACTAACCTTATTTGGTTATATTGGTTCCATTTTTGGTAGTTTACCATCTTATGGGATCCCTAAATCCTGGTAATGAACGTGGGAAAGGATCAGCATTTCTAAATTTGAAAAACACGTGTTTGAATTAATGCATTGCTTAAAAAAGAAAATAATTGCATTGTTCGCTCAAAAAGGAAATTTACTTTGTTTCCAAAAATGGAAATATTGTGCTGAAAAAGTTAACTTTTAATTTAGGTTCCAGAAAAACTGCCGGGTATTCTACAGAATATTTCATGCAGCACCCTTAATTAAATTTTTCCTTTTATGGTTAGTCCATGCATTAAGATGCATATACTTGTCTAAACATGTATAAAAAAATCAGGCGATTTTTTTGTTTAACAAGTTAACCAAAAAAAAAAATGTGAAATGGATTGACATTTATATCAAGTTTCACATTTAAGGATTACAAATCTGATTACAAATTTTAATTAATTTTGTGTTCCGATTTGTAATAGTATTGTTTCCAAAGGGAACAATACTAAAAAATTGTAAAACAATATGATTTACAAATTGTAAAACGATAATATTTGCAAACACAAATTGTCATTGGTGTTTAAAAGGTTGCCTCATCAATGGCGTGATTTTGGAACAACAAAGAGTAATAGATTTTTGATGCACTCCGTCTAGGTATCTGATTGTGTGCTGTGTATCAATTACATCCCTTGCGCGCATGCAAAGGATAACGATGGTCCTGGAACATGTTAATTGGGACAAGTTGGTGTGAATTGTTAGTAGCACCGTGAAAATGACTGGAAATTGCCCTTGTTAACCTAATTAATGTATTCCGGATTATTCTTATCACTCATGTGCAAAAAGGATATATGTTTTAATGTACAACGGCACTTGAGTTCTTGTGGTAATTGTACCTGCAGTCCCCGGGGCGGCTGTGTTGGGCTCTAATCATATCCTCTTGTGTCCGGGCAACAATTATTTAAACGAGTTCAGGACGTTTCTTGGTGTAGACCAAGTCAAACGACACCGAGCTCATTGCCTGTTGACTTTGTAAATTCAAAAATCTCTCACACAAATCAACCCTGGTAATGAACGTGAGAAAGTATCAGCATTTCTAAATTTGAAAAACATGTGTTTGAATTAATGCATTGCCTAAAAAAGGAATTAAATTGCATTGTTTGCTCAAAAAGGAAATTTACTTTGTTTTCAAAAATGAAAATATTGTGCTGAAAAAGTTAACTTTTAATTTAGGTTCCGGAAAAACTGCTGGGTATTTTACAAAATATTCCATGCAGCACCCTTAATTAAATTTTTCCTTTTATGGTTAGTTCATGCATTAAAGTGCATATACTTGCCTAAACATGCATAAAAAAATCAGGCGAATTTTTTGTTTAACAAGTTAACCAAAAAAAAAAAAAATGTGGAACGAATTGACATTTATATCAAGTTTCACATTTAAGGATTACAAATCTGATTACAAATTTTAATTAATTTTGTGTTCCGATTTGTAAAACAATAATATTTGCAAACACAAATTGTTATTGATGTTTAAAAGGTTGCCTCATCAATGGCATGATTTTGAAACAATAAGAGTAATAGATTTTTGATGCACTCCGTCTAGGTATCTGATTGTGTGCTGTGTACCAATTATATCCCTTGCGCGCATGCAAAGGGTAACGATGGTCCTGGGACATGCTAATTGGAACAAGTTGGTGTGAATTGTTAGTAGCACTGTGAAAATGGCTGGAAATTGCCCTTGTTAATCTAATTAGTGTATTCTGGATTATCCTTATCGCTCATGTGCAAAAAGGATAGATGTTTTGGTGTACAACGGCGCTTGAGTTCTTGTGGTAGTTGCACCTGCAGTCCCCGGGGCGGCTGTGTTGGGCTCTAATCATATCCTCTTGTGTCTGGGCAGCAATTATTTAAACGAGTTCAGGATGTTCCTTGGTGTAGACCAAGTCAAACGACACCGAGTGAGTTGCCTGTTGACTTTGAAAATTCAAAAATCTGTCGCACAAATCAACCCTAACCTGGCACATGACTAGTTGTAGTGGTGGTAGGAATGTTGGCTTCCTGAGACCTTACTGTGAATCAAGAAGTTTGGTTTTTGTCTTCTCCTCTTGCAAAAAGAGGACAAGTTGTTAGTTTTTTTTTGTAATATCTATAAATAGATAAGTTAATGAAATAAATATACTTGCAAGGTTATACCTGTTGGTGGTAGTTTCTTGAAATTAAAAGTATTTGATAAAGAGCTTGATAAGTTTTTTTTTCTCTTTAAAGAATATTTCCTAATTAGGAAATTTAGTGATGAATGGGAAAGTGTTTGAAAAAAATTTGATTTTATTAAATTAAGACATATATATTAATATTAAGAATTAATAAAATAAATAAATTTAAGAATTCTAAATAATTTTTTTTAAATGTTTTTTAAAAAAACTTGATTTTTTTTATTTTTTTAGATTTTTTTTAAAGATTTAAAAAATTTGAAATTTGAAATTTTATTTTATAATATTTAAATAAAATTTAAATATTTTTTAATTATTATTATTATTATTTTAAAAACAATTTATATTTATTTTTTATTTTTATAAAATAATTTAAATATTTTTTGGGTTTTAAATTTTAAAGAGTTTTATTTTTTTAATTAAAATATTTATTTTTATTGAAATAAATAAATAAATTATTTTAATATTTAATTTTTTAATTAATTTAATATAGCTAATACTATTACTTTATAAATTATTATATTTATTTATATAAAAAAAATCTGCTTTCTATCAATAAAATATTTTTTTTTTTTTTACTGTTAAGTGAGGCATTTCTCACGATCTTTATTAATAAAGTAAATTCGTTACATAATTAAT